TAGCAACAAGGGGCCCTAGGACATCTGGGAAAGGCAGAATCAAGGTCAGGCGTGTTGTGGGTCAGGGAGCAGGAAGTTGAGGAAGGAGATCTTCAGCTGAAGTGGGCAAAGAATGGGGATCTGGAAAGTACTCAGGTTCTTTGTAAGGTACTAAGATTTCAAGTGTAGGAAAAGCTCATGGGAAGACTGAAGTGCCTAGTGGGGAAATTCCTGAGATTTGGGTCCTAGGGTCCATAAGATCTATGTTTGGTTTTAGGTTTCTGGTGGCTTGCTTTAGAAATGGTTAGTTTTCTGTGGCCCCACCCCCAACCCCCAGTCCTGGAAGCTCTTGAGGCCTCCGCCTCTGCTCAATCCTCAAGCCCTGGGCGTGGTGCCCAGAATAGGGTGCCAGGGCTGGGGAAGCCGCTGAGTCACCCTGGCTCCACCCACTGGATCTGGGCCCTGCCCCCAGAGATCAGGCCGACTAGCCACGAAGTGAGCTGTATGGGTGCTAGAGGGGGGTCCTGGGCCCCAGGGTGTGTAGCCAGACTTGGGGATTGTTGGAGGGGCAGGGATGAGGGAGAGAGGGAGGAGCATTGTGATGTACAGAGCTGCTCTGTGAGGTCAAGGGTCTCTTAGGGGTGGGGACCAGGGTAGCCAGATGGGTTGACAGTAGAACTCATGGGGTTTCTGACACCCACCCGTCTGCTTCCCAGTCTGGGGGTGGAGGGCTGGCCTGGAGTCTTAGTGTGGGGCAGGGTGGAGAGGTGGGCTCCTCCTGCTTTCCACTCAAACTGTAGCTTTCTTTCCCCAGATCCGAATTCGAGATCCAAACCAAGGAGGGAAGGATATCACAGAGGAAATTATGTCTGGGGCCCGAACCGCCTCCACACCCACTCCTCCCCAGGTATTGTCTGCGCTTTGAGTAATGCCATGGCTGGGATGGCTGTTCTGCCCTGGACTCCCAAGTCCTTTGGTCTTTCCTTCAACTAAGGGATTTATTTCCCTGCTTTCCTGGATTTCTAGGCAGAGCTAAAGTAGCAATGGCTCTAGTAAAGAAGGGTTGTGGGACTCTTCAGGGCAAAGTTGGTAACCCTTTGTGTCCTGCAGACGGGAGTCGGTCTGGAGCCTCAAGCTAATGGGGAGACTCCCCAGGTTGCTGTCGTTGTCCGGCCAGGTATGTAAGCATGTGGTACAGAGCTCTTACAGGGAAAAGGATTATGATGATTTAAAGTGCTGAGGAAGTGGGGTAATTTGAAGGTGCCAGAGAAGAATGATTTGGGTTTAAGGTAGTAGGATTTTGAGCATGGGTTGGATTTTGGGTGAAAGGGAAAAGGTTAGGTGGGAGAACATTGCGGGGAGGTGTTAGGTAGGGAATGCCTTGGCTGGGGGAGCGAGGGGGAGGAGGAGGAGCAGCAGCAGCAATGAAGGACTTGCCTCTAATTATTCTTCCTTCCTGTGGTGCAGATGACCGGTCACAGGGAGCAATCATTGGGGCCCGGCCGGGGCTGCCTGGCACAGAGCATAGCCCTTCAGAATCCCAGCCTTCATCACCTTCTCCGATCCCGTCACCACCCCCAATCTTGGAACCAGGATCTGAGCCTAATCTCGCAGTCCTCTCTATTCCCGGGGACACTATGACAACGGGGATGATACAAATGCCTGTAGGAGAATCAACCCCCTTGCCCTGTGAAACTGGGGAGCCATATTGCATCTCTCCAGAACCCACTTCCCTCGCTGAACCCATACTGGAAGTAGAAGTGACACTTAGCAAACCAGTTCCAGATTCTGAGTTCTCTTCTAGTCCTCTCCAGGTTTCCATCCCCCTGGCATCTCCCAAGGTGGAAATTCTTTCTGAGCCTAATGGCACGGCCCCATCCGAGGATCTAGAACCAGAGCTGGAGTTGAACCCAGAGCTTGCCCCTCTCCCCGCCGTTTGTCCCTCTGATTCTCCCATACCCATTGCTCCAACGACCCAACCTGAGGAACTGCTCAATGGAGCCCCCTCGCCACCAGCTGTGGACTTAAGCCCAGTCAGTGAGCCAAAGGAGCAGGCCGAGGAGGTTATAGCACCAGTGGCTCCCCCCGTCGTCCTCCCTGCCACTCCACCTATGGCTTTTCCAGCGATTTCCCCTGCTTCAGAGGAGGAAATGGAGGAGGAGGAGGAGGAAGAGGAGGAGGAAGAAGAAGGAGAAGCTGGAGAAGCTGAGGGTGATAAGGGAGAAGAGGAACTGCTCGCCCCAAAGAGCACCCCTGTTCCAGTTCAGAATTTAGAGGCGGCAGCAGCCACCCCAGGTGAGGTGTGGCTGGATGGTGGAGGTGGGTTGGGCTGGAGGGCGGGGTTCTTTCTCTTTATTGATGATCTCCCATTTGTGCCATTATGTCTGGGTCAGAAGCCCTGTAATGGCTTACTTAAGAATTTAAGTAAACTAGATTAAGAGCTAGATTAAACTCCTGAATCTTAAGTGCTAGATGAAGGAATTTTAAGTCTAGAGAGGCTCTGATAGAAAGAGGAAGGTTACACAGGGGTTGCTTTTTCTTCCAGGGTTAGGGGTACTTCTTAAGTTGTCCTCATTCTATTTTTTCCCTAAATAGTGGCAGTATCTGTGCCAAAGAGGAGACGGAAAATTAAGGAGCTCAATAAGAAGGAAGCTGTAGGAGACCTTCTAGACGCCTTCAAGGAGGTAAGAGAGCAAGCTCATGGTAGCAGGGGGCAGAGTTTCAGTATGGGAAAACGTTTGAACTGCAACCAAACAAATGTCCTGTGGTTGCAGGCGAACCCAGGAGTACCAGAGGTGGAAAATCAGCCTCCGGTAGTCAACAACCCCGGTCCAGAGCCTGAGGGCAGCGCGCCCTCACGACCTGAGGAAGCAGATGAGACTTGGGACTCAAAGGAGGACAAAATTCACAATGCCGAGAACATCCAACCCGGGGAACAGAAGTATGAGTATAAGTCAGGTATGCAGAAGGAAGGGTCCAGAGGACTGAGTACTCTTATAAGAGCCCAAAGAGACAGTAGTGTGATTGGTTCACCCTGTCTGTCTTACAGATCAGTGGAAGCCTCTAAACCTTGAGGAGAAAAAACGTTATGACCGTGAGTTCCTGCTTGGCTTTCAGTTCATCTTTGCCAGTATGCAGAAGCCTGAGGGACTGCCCCATATCAGTGATGTGGTGTTGGATAAGGTTGGTGGGCCTGAGGGGGAGGCTGAGTTTGTACTGACGGCTGGCTGGGGAGGAGCCTGAGGTCCTGAACGAGCAGTCAGTAGCCCTGGTCTGTTTCTGATACTTTCTCTGTCCTCTTCACAGGCCAATAAAACACCACTTCGGCCACTGGATCCTCCTAGACTTCAGGGCATAAATTGTGGCCCAGACTTCACGCCATCCTTTGCCAACCTTGGCCGACCAGCACTCAGCAGCCGTGGGCCCCCAAGGGGTGGGCCAGGTGGGGAGCTGCCCCGAGGGCCGGTGAGTGGGACTGGCTAGAGGGGTAGCTGGGCAAGGGTAGGGGGAGTGTGACCTTCTGTATCTACCTCACTGGGGAATGAGAAGTCTGCCCTGGAGATCCATGGTGGTGCCTCAGGTTGTGCTCACTACTGTATCTTCTTTTTTCCTTAACCATTGGTTAGCAGGCTGGTCTGGGACCCAGGCGCTCTCAGCAGGGCCCCAGAAAGGAGCCACGTAAGATCATTGCCACAGTGTTAATGACCGAAGATATAAAACTGAACAAAGCAGAGAAGGCCTGGAAACCTAGCAGCAAGCGGACAGATAAGGACCGAGGGGAAGAGGATGCTGATGGCAGCAAAAACCAGGTACCGGCAAGTCCTGCTTTTGGTCTCCATTCTTTCTCTTCAGGTTCTGCTGAGCCAACTTTGCCTTTTTGCTTCTGTCCATCCCCAGAAGTAGCCTCTTCCATCCTCCCTAGTCTCTTCCTCCTCCTCGGTGGCCCTTGTTCTTCTGAGAACCTCACTGGATCCTGTGTTTTTTCTGCTCCCTCTCCCCACCAGGACCTGTTCCGCAGGGTACGCGCCATTCTGAATAAGCTGACCCCCCAGATGTTTCAGCAGCTGATGAAGCAAGTGACGCAGCTGGCCATCGACACGGAGGAACGCCTGAAAGGGGTCATTGACCTCATCTTTGAAAAGGCCATTTCAGAGCCCAACTTCTCTGTGGCCTATGCCAACATGTGTCGCTGCCTCATGGCGGTTAGTTTCCACTGTTTTCTCAGTCTTGTGGTCTGGCCTCCCACTTCTTGAGTCCATCTTCTTGGTTCTCCAAGAGGAGGCAGAGCGTGGGCTAGAGCTCCTCTTGGGTTAGGTAGTTAAAGACTGGGAGGGTCTTCCTTGCCCTGGATAATCGGAATGGGACATTCTCTTTGATGTACAGCTGAAAGTGCCCACTACAGAAAAGCCAACAGTGACTGTAAACTTTCGAAAACTGTTGTTGAATCGATGTCAAAAGGAGTTTGAAAAAGACAAAGATGATGATGAGGTTTTTGAGAAGAAGCAAAAAGAGATGGATGAAGCTGCTACGGTGAGAGAAAACCCACGAACTCTACTGTTCATGCAGATGCTTGGCTGTAGAATTGGGAGTGGGGATTAGTGATTGGGGGTTTCTCTGCCTCAGGACACACAAGTGCTTGTTGCTGGGTATAGAAATCCAGATAGTGGAGGGAGAGGGTTTTAGCCATGTGGCTGGGTTTCTTTTTGATGTGATCCCTGTCCCATGACTGCCAGGCAGAAGAACGGGGGCGCCTGAAGGAAGAGCTGGAAGAGGCTCGAGACATAGCCCGGCGGCGCTCTTTAGGGAATATCAAGTTCATTGGGGAATTGTTTAAGCTGAAGATGTTAACAGAGGCAATAATGCATGACTGCGTAGTTAAACTACTTAAGAATCACGATGAAGAGTCCCTTGAATGCCTTTGCCGTCTGCTCACCACCATTGGCAAAGATCTGGACTTTGAAAAAGCCAAGGTAGGAGTCTTGGGATAGGGAAGGGACAGGCTGAGGTACATGGGACCTCCTGTCCACTGACAAACTCCCTGTTGAGCTGTCGTGTTTGGGCCACTGAACCACGGTGATGGAGCTGAGGGCTTGCAGCTGGAGGTGGGGAATTGGAAGTTCCTGCCCTGATCCTTTTGCTTCTCCCTAGCCCCGAATGGATCAGTATTTCAACCAGATGGAAAAAATAATAAAGGAAAAGAAGACTTCATCCCGAATCCGCTTCATGCTGCAAGATGTGCTGGATCTGCGACGGGTGTGTGTTCCTTCCCTTCCTCCTGCTAGTCTGCTGCCTCTGACTTTGCAGTCCCCAGTTCTTGACACTGCATTGGCCTCTCTGATGCAGTTATCTTGTGACCGGCTTCCTGTCCCCACAGAGCAATTGGGTGCCACGCCGAGGGGATCAGGGTCCCAAGACCATTGACCAGATCCACAAGGAGGCAGAGATGGAGGAGCATCGGGAGCACATAAAAGTGCAGCAGCTAATGGCCAAGGGCAGCGACAAACGTCGGGGTGGTCCTCCAGGCCCACCTATCAGTGAGTTTGAGGCTGGGATTGAGGAGGGGGCAGTGTGAGGGATTGTGCTTTCCACTGATGACTTCTTGTTAGTGCCACGTGTCTGGGCCACTGAGACCCCATGATGGAACTGAGGATCTGAGGAAGCAAGGCTGGTGTCAGCCCAAGGGACAGGGCTGTTAGGCCTTGCTCTCCATTTTAATATGCTCTCTTTTTTTGTCCCAGGCCGTGGCCTTCCACTTGTAGATGATGGTGGCTGGAACACAGTCCCCATCAGCAAGGGCAGCCGCCCTATTGACACCTCACGACTCACCAAGATCACAAAGGTAGGGGTGATGTTAGTGACAGGAGGGTAAAGGGAGGTCAAAATAGCCACCAAACACAATTCGGGCTTACTGTTAGTCCCCTCGTTCTCTGGCAGCTGAAGTTTTCCTCTTAGACTAACTGGTCAGATTGCTAGAGATGGCCAGCCCTAGGGGATGTGATTCCATTGGTCTGGGCCACACGGGTCAGCAAACTGACCTGCGCACTAGATTAGGTCCATTCTCTCTTTTGTAATCCCCCCAGGCTAAGAATGTTTTTTTAGTGGTTGAAAAAAGTGAATGCTGTTGCATGATGTGAAATGACATAAAATTTACATTTTAGTGTCCAAAATTTTATTTGAACTCAATTATATTCATTCCCTTTATCCTTTGTGACTGCTTTTGTAAGACAGCGGCAGTGTTGAGTAGTTGAAATAGAAACTGTGTGGCTGCAAAGCCTAAAATATCTACTATCTGGCCCTTTACAGGAAAAGTTTGCCTCGCCCCTGGTCTAGGCTGTTCGTGGCTGTGTGTGGCTGGGGGCTTTGGCCAGGTCAGACCCATGACTCTCCACTCCCTTTCCTTCCTCAGCCTGGCTCCATTGATTCTAACAACCAGCTCTTCGCACCTGGAGGGCGATTGAGCTGGGGCAAGGGCAGCAGTGGTGGCTCAGGAGCCAAGCCATCTGATGCAGGTATGGATGCCACTGTAAAGAGGGGTGGTTATTAATGAGCTCTCTTGAAGGTAGAGCCTTGTCTATGTGGGAGCCTTTCAGTACAGAAAGATTAGGTGATATAGCAGCTGTGTATTACTTGGTGGGACTAGGGACTGAACTCTTAGTGTTGGGACTAGGACCAAGCATCCTAAACTGGCAGGTTGGTGGTAGGCTGTAAGAAAACATATTAATGATCATTTTTTTGCTTTCCTAGCATCAGAAGCTGCTCGTCCAGCTACTAGTACCTTAAATCGCTTCTCAGCCCTTCAACAAGCAGCACCTGCAGAAAGCACAGAAAACAGACGTGTGGCTCAGAGGTGAGGTTTCCTGGGTGTCTTCGTGTTCCACCAATACCTGTAATGCTCAGAGGCCCTGGCTGAGATAGGGGCACATTCCCGATGCCAAGAGCAAGGCCTGATGGTTGCTCAGCATGTTGGGTAACTTAAGGGGAGAGCGCCTGGGAAACACAGGTGAGAGATCATGTGCCTGTCTTTCTTCCAGGAGTAGCTTGAGCCGGGAACGAGGTGAGAAAGCTGGAGACCGAGGAGACCGCCTAGAGCGGAGTGAACGGGGAGGTGATCGTGGGGACCGGCTTGATCGATCTCGGACGCCTGCCACCAAGCGCAGCTTTAGCAAGGAAGTGGAGGAGCGGAGTAGAGAGCGGCCCTCCCAGCCTGAAGGGCTGCGCAAGGCAGCCAGCCTCTCTGAGGATCGGGACCGCGGGCGGGATGCTGGTGAGTGGCTGAGTGGGGACAGGAAGGGAATGGTGTGGGCTGTTGGGGAGTAGCCAGCCTCTAGATAGTCTTTAGAGCTCCGGATGTTCACTGGAAAGACTGGAACTAAACAGTCTGATTTGTTTTGTCCCCACCTCAGTGAAGCGAGAAGCCACCCTGCCACCTGTGAGTCCCCCGAAGGCTGCACTCTCAGAAGAGGAGCTGGAGAAGAAATCCAAGGCCATCATTGAGGAATATCTCCATCTCAATGACATGAAGGTTGGTAGTGGGAGGGTCTGAGTGATGGTAGAGTGGGCGGGGACCATGCTGACAGCTCTGCAGTGTAGGGCCTGGGCCAGACACTGACTGCGCTCTTCCTCCTATACCTGGTTCTCCTGCAGGAGGCAGTGCAGTGTGTGCAGGAGCTGGCCTCACCCTCCCTGCTCTTCATCTTTGTGCGGCATGGCATCGAGTCCACACTAGAGCGCAGTGCCATTGCTCGTGAACATATGGGACGGCTACTGCACCAGCTGCTCTGTGCCGGGCACCTCTCCACTGCCCAGTACTATCAAGGGTATGACCCTCCCACTTTTACAAACGCACAAATTTCTTTCCTTTGTAGGACCTGTGCACCTTGGGGAAGAATATAGGCTCCTCAACCATCCTGGTCAACATTATTTTTGGCAGGGATGGGGGTGGTGAGCTATCTAAGAACAAGGAGGTGTTCTTAGCTTGAGATAGTTGCCCATGTTTAGAAAATGTTCCTCACGGGCCGCACAGTTGCTCCTTTTAATCATGCCCAGTTGCCCCAGAAGGAGGGTGAGGGCCTGGCTCTTTTTCCTAGAATGCCCTGATTTTGAATTCCCTTTGCAGGTTGTATGAAATCCTAGAATTGGCTGAAGACATGGAAATTGACATCCCCCACGTGTGGCTCTACCTGGCAGAACTGGTAACGCCAATTTTGCAGGATGATGGAGTACCCATGGGGGAGCTGTTCAGGTGAGTTCCCTTTGGTAGAATCTGGGAGAGGTAAAGACAAGAAGAAAGGGGGGAGGGTAGGGGAGGGGTGGCAGATTAAGATGCCTGGGTTTAGGGAGGCGTGGGGTAGTGTGTTTAGGGCTTTGGAGACTGTCAACATGAGTTTTCTTACAGGGAGATTACAAAACCTCTGAGGCCCCTGGGCAAAGCTGCTTCCCTGTTGCTGGAGATCCTGGGGCTCCTATGCAAAAGCATGGTGAGTGAGAGCCTTTCGGGGGTAATGTGTTCAGGATTGCTCTTTCCACTGTGCGGTTTTGGCTGCTTGTAGTGACACAAGCTTCATGGTCCTTTGGTGGGATGGAGGTATGGGGGTGGGTGGTAGTGCCTGTGTTAGTATTTGAGAGAGGCCGGTACTCCCTCAAGACCATGCCTGTCAGTACCTCCTGTGAGTTCTGGCCAAGGCTGGAGAACAGGAAACCAGGACCCTAGCCCCTTGATTGACTGGTTGATTCGTTCATTCGTTCAACTAGTGTTTGTTGTTGTTTGTTTGTTTTTTTTAAACATTTACTACATGTTAGGCATTGATAATACAGCAAGTGAATAAAACACAGGAAACAAGTTGGAAGAGAAAAAAATAAGAATGACAGTGTAACACAACAGTGAAATAAAGTGTGAAGTAAAACGGTTGAATTTGAGTGTTTTAAGTACTGTGAGGTTGTAAAGGAGTATCTGTTTGACAATTCTGTGACAGTATTCTTTCCTGGAAAGGCGCTGAAGCTGCCTGGTGAAAGTTAGTTGGTGACTAGCAGGTGAAAAGGTGGGAAATGCAAAGCTGGGTGTGGTGCTCTGGTAGTGAGAAGTTGGAAAGTACAGTTTTGGAAGAGCTCAGCTACCTGGAACCTGGAGGAGTGAGACTTCATATTAATCTATTTATCTACCTATCTATTTACTTATAGGTTCTATTTATTTTTAGAGGCGGGGGGAGGGAAGGAGAAAGAGAATGAGAGAAATCCTGATGTGTGAGAGCAACATTGATCTCTTGCCATTCACATACCCCCAACTGGGGACCTGGTCTGCAACCCAGGTATGTGCCCTGCCTGGAAATTGAACCAGCAACCTTTCAGTTCTCAGGCTGGTGCTCAGTCCACTGAGCCACACCAGCCAGGGGAAATATTAATCATTTTAGGGAAAAGTAAGTACCAGGATAATCTGTTTGGAAAAAAAAGAAAAAGCATATTGAACTACTTATGTATTTTCATTGACCTTAAGGTGCTATAGATTATAGGATGTTTATGCTCTGCTAAGAAAAAAAAGACTTAGGTCATATTTTAAAAATACAATTTATCAACTTAGACAACTCCATTTTAGTGGTGTTAAAATGGGCATCTTTAAAATCCATGAACTGCGGTAATCTTGTTAAGGGTTGATGTCATCATTTTGTATACCTGTTTTTATAAAAGTCATGCCTTCAGAATCTCTTGCCTTTTACAGAAAATGGGCTCAGACTGCTGTTTGTGTGAAGATTCTGATTTGCATTGGGGGTGGGTGGGTATGTATGCTTCTAAAATTTTCTAGACTTGGGGACCAAATAAATGTACTTGTTAATTGTCTTCTCCCATAAGCATTTGTTACTTGGAGTAATGAAAAACTAAGCTATTGTAGAAGAAATGTAGATGAATGTGGAAGGCTGAGATGAGATACGTATTTCATTTTGGTGGTTTACCTTTTTGTGGTCCAGTAATTCTTTGAGAATCCTGTGAAAGGTAATTGACATCTTTCCTGGAGGCTCTCAAGGCCATCCACCGCCATCTGCAGTCTTACAGTGGATGAGTCCTTGTGTCTATGACTGATGTCTATGCCCGATACTAGACAGTAAGCATGGAGGTGCCTATTTGGTACTTCTATAGCATCCTGAGCCTCTAGCAGGCACCTAGTGGTCTTGCAATAAATATTTGATGGATGCCTTTTGTGGTGCTGTTAAATTCTTGGAGAGACAGAGGGTTGCTGAGTTGGTCTTTTGTGTTCCAGGGTCCCAAAAAGGTGGGGGCGCTGTGGCGAGAGGCTGGACTCAGCTGGAAGGAATTTCTGCCCGAAGGCCAGGATGTTGGTGCCTTCGTTGCTGAACAGGTTTGTGCTGGAGTTACAATAACTCCATTTGGGGTGGCATGGTGCATTTACCTCTTGACTATGTGCCAATTTGCTTGCAGAAGGTGGAGTATACCCTGGTAGAGGAATCAGAAACCCCTGGCCAGAGGTTGCTCTCCCCTGAGGAGCTGAGCAGACAGCTGGAGAAGCTCCTCAAGGATGGCAGCAGTAACCAGCAAGTGTTTGATTGGATAGAGGTATGTTTCTCTTGATACTGGGAGAGCAGGATAAAGGTGAACTTGTTCTTGGTGTGGTGGGCGGGGGGACAGAATTGAGAATTTAAGGGCCATGTGTTTCTCTCTCTCCTGCATAGGCCAACCTGTCCGAAGAGCAGGTAGCATCCAACACATTAGTCCGAGCCCTAATGAAAAGTGTCTGCTATTCTGCAATTATCTGTAAGAGAAGCCAGGGAGATGGTGGGGCAAGGGTGGGCCCAGCAGACCAATGGAAGGAGGGAGGGAGGGGGGGCAGGGGGGTTGGTTTTGGTCATTGCCTCCTAGTTCTGAATCAGGATGGGGCTGCATTGTCCCCCTTATCCCTGTCTTCTTCCTGTAGTTGAGACTCCCCTCCGAGTGGATGTTGAGGTGCTGAAAGCGCGAGCGAAACTGCTACAGAAATACCTATGTGACGAGCAGAAGGAGCTGCAGGCACTCTATGCCCTCCAGGCACTTGTAGTGACCTTAGAACAGCCCCCCAGTAAGAGCCAGGAGGGTTGCGGGTGGGGTGGAAGAGCTTCCAGATAGTGGGGACAGTCTTGGAAAGGGTCTCTCAACCCAAGAAAGGTGGGTGGTCATTGGAGAACAAATGCTCTGATGGTTGATTCCTTCCCCCTACAGTGCGTGTTTCCTTGCCTACACATGGGAGGAGTTAGATTTGGCCTTGAAGGTTGACTACCTGTTTTGGGCGTAGCCAACTGTTAGATGCCAGGAGTGCAGAGCTGATAAATAATGTTTCCCTCTGCCTGGCACTGGGCTGGGATACTTTTCTTGCCTCATTTAATCCTCACAACTATTGTTTAGAATAGATGGTGTTATCCTCTTCTCCATTTTGGGAGACTTAAGGTTTAACATGCCTGAAGTTACGCATTCTGCAAATAGGTATGTGTTGGAACCCTGGGATGTTAGCAGTGAGTAAGTCAAGCTCAGTTCCCATGCTGGCCTGGAACCTAACCGCCTAACCGATGATGAGTGTGGGGAGACAGGTCCTGCAGAGCACTCTCTGGGGGAGCACACCTAGTCTTAAGGGGTAAAGAGTGGGAATTGACAAATGGGAGCTAAATGGCAAGTGGGAGGGGGAGCCTTGGAACAAAGGAACTATGTGTCAAGGAAGGCCATGAGGTAAGAAGACTGGACACAAGGTAAAAGAACTGTTGAAGGAAGACCATGGAGGGAGAACACAGTATCCAGTTGTGTGAAGCAGAATGGGGCTGGAGAGGTGGACAAGGGCTGGGCCACACAGGGCAATGTGAGCCATGGGATGAGTTTTCATCTTTAGCCTGTGGATAGGGCGAGGCCTTTGTGGGAAATTTGGGCAAAGAGTTAAAAAATTCTAATTCAGTTTTTAAATCATCTTGGCCATTAGGGAACAGCAGTTTCGAGTGGGGGTGAGTGTGAATGTGGTAGGGTCAACTGATCAGGAGTGTGTTGATAGTGGCTCAGCCTGACAGTTGGCAGTGAAGATGGGAGAGGAGTGGACAGATTCAAGACACACACTGGCTTGGGGAGAGGGCGATGAGGGACCAGAAGTCATATGACTCAGGATGGTTTTTAGTAGGTGAGGTGATGGTGTTGTACCATCCACTGGGTGGTAGGGAACACTGGATCAAATTGTGTTTGGTCATGCTGAGTTTGTGGTTTATGAGGGGGCATGATCAGAGATGTTGGTAAATGCCTGCGTAGCTGAACTCATTTGGAGAGGAAGAGGTCAGGGCTGGAGGCTTACCTGTGAGTTGTGAGCACAGGGCAGCAACATGTGCAAATTAAAAGAAGGTATGGGATTGCCTGAGTGAGAGCGATGAGGGTCTGAGAACCTTGAGGTGAAGGACCTACAGGTATGGACCAAAGGAGGACAGGGCCTCTGAACAAAGGACAGTTATTTTAGGAAAGGGAAGTGGTCTGAGTAATGCGAGGTGCTCCTTGAGAGCTCCATGGGAGGAGGCCTGAAAATTAAGGGCTTCTGCAGTATAAAAACCTGGAGGCCACCCTGGCAGAAACAGTATTTGGTGGAGCAGGGGGCAGGATCTTGATTGGAAAGGACTGAGTAATTGGGACCAAAAATAAATAAAAAGGAAAGCACAAATGTAGACAAAAATCTTTGAGTTCAGTCTCTAGTTGAACAATTTTTTTGTTTGGTTACAAGAGATAGTGGTTGTAAAGGAGGCCTTTGGTGTTGAGATGGGAGAAACTTGGGCCTGAAAATACAGGACAGAGTGGATAATTGATTGTATAGGGTCCCCAGAGTAGGTGTGCATAGGATTTGGAGGACAGGTTTGGGATAAATGATGTACAGCTGCTGTTGCTGTGGGATGGGGTGGGAAGTTGTCCACAGGAAAGGGGATGTGTGTGCCCCTAGAAACATTCTGTCTTGCAGCTGCTCATAGGTGGCTCAGAGTTTCACAAATGGATAGGGCCCTAGATCCTATGCTTTATTCATTTTTTTATTCAGAAGATGTATAGAAGAAGGATATTCCACCTGTTTGCTTTTAGGAATGTAAAGTTTGCTTTGGAAATGGCAGTGCAGTGTGGGGAAGGAAGTAGGTTGTGTTCAAGGTTGTAGGACAAGTGCTTGGGAAGGCTAAGGGTAAGGGAGAAATAGGGTCGGAGCAGGGGGTGTGTGAGTTGGGCCTAAGGGAATTCACTAGGAAGGTGACAAGAGAAAGGATATTCCTGGCAAAAACTAACACATGTAACACTGTCAAGGCCACAGAGGCTGTGTCTGTTCAGAAGATACATGGAAAATAAGACATTGGGATCAAGAATTTGTCAGGATCTATAATGGGCCAGTGGATATTCCAGGTTATACCCTTCACTTGTGAGTGGTACATCTGGGACTTGTGATTCCCCAAATTCAGGAGTACCAATTTTATATACCCCCCACCCCCCGGTCTCTCCCCTTCCCCGTTAAATACATCATCAGTGAAGAAATTGGAAGTTGCCAAGGTGAGCGAGGCTAGGCAGGTTTGTATGGTTTGGCCAAGTGACTCATTCCTGTGTACCAGTCTTAGATCATGAAAACAGCATCTTGTCGAAGACTTGGTGACCCTGAAATGGTCAGACATACAAGATGTCTGGATGGCGGGTCAAGGGCCTTGTTTTAACAGTGGAGCTTAGGAGGGATCCCTGGGGGTAGGATGGGGTGGCTGTGGGCAGCACACCTCTTAACTCTGTCCTGCCTGCTTGCAGACCTGCTTGGGATGTTCTTTGATGTGCTGTACGATGAGGACGTGGTGAAGGAGGACGCTTTCTACAGCTGGGAGAGTAGCAAGGACCCCACTGAGCAGCAGGGCAAGGGTGTGGCCCTTAAATCTGTCACAAGCTTCTTCAAGTGGCTTCGTCAGGAGGAGGAGGAGTCCGACCACAACTGAGGGCGGGTGGGGCCGGGGACTTGGAACCCCATGGACACTCGGATGGCCCAGCCAGCTGCCTGGACTGCAGGGGGGTCAGCAGCAGTGGCGGCGGCAGTGGGTGCCTGTAGTGCGATGTGTCTGAGCTAATAAAGTGGCTGAAGAGGCAGGATGGCTTGGGGCCCCCTCCAGGATGCTGCCAGGTGTCCCTCTCCTCCCCCTGGGGCACAGAGATATATTATATATAAAGTCTTGAAATTTGGTGTGTCTTGGGGGGGGGCACCACTGCCTGCCCCTGGGGTTCTTTTTTATTTTCCGAAAAATCACTCTTGGGACTGCCGTCCTCGCTGCTGGGGGCATATGCCCCAGCCCCTGCACCACCCCTGCTGCTACCTGGGCAGGGGGAAGGGGGGGCACGGTGCCTGTAATTATTAAACATGAATTCAATTAAATTTACTGCATCTCTGCTTTACGGCCTTCTCTGTCTGGAGAAGGTATGGATCGGGGAGGGGGCAGCCTTGTTCAGACCTGGCACTAGAGCAGTTTCCTGTAAACTTGCACCCTTTTTGCTGCTTCCCCTGCCCATGATTGTGTGAGCTGGAAGTCACTTGCTTGGAAGGTTTGGCCCTGGAAGTGGATGGTGGTTGGGTGTCCTCGTTCACTAGAAGGGGAGAGGGAGACATAACTGTGGGGTACTTAATAGAGTGGACTTGGCTGGTTTCTCCGTCCTATCAGAATGTGATCAAAGCCCCTTTTCAAGGAGAGGGTCCTGGGTTTCAGGCTGTATAGCTGGGAAGTCCTTCATGGTTAAAAAGGTTTCATCTATAAAGGGGTTGGATGCAATGAAGTCTTCGGCCCCATACAGTGCTACCGGCATCTTGGGCCCAGTGAGTGCCCACCTGTGTTAAGGGGTCGTTCTGCAGTTGGCCCTGGGAGCACAGGACTAGCTTCCGTACTCAGCAGCAGTGCTCGGCTGCCACTGCGTGGCCCTGACGCCGGCTTGGCCCCGCCTGCTTTGGGTAGTGACGCGATGGCCACGCCCCCGCGCTGGCGTCAGCGGCCCGGTTCCCTCTCCCGGGAGCGGCAGCGGACGCGGCTCCCGCCCCTCCCCTCACGGGTTCTCCCCTCCCAGGTGGCGGCCGCGGCTCGACCCTCGGTAAGCCGATGGCCCGGGTCCCGAGCGCGGGCTAGCGTGCCTGGGTGCCCGGCCATGGGCTGTGTCGGCTCTCGGAGCCCGGCGGGTCAGGGTAAGAGGCAGAGGCCGGGCACGGGCTGGGGAGTCGGGCTGCGGGTTCCTGGGCCGCTGGTGGGTGGGGGCCTTGAGGAAGGGGCCGGTATCGGGAAGGAGGAGCTTGCGCCGGGGAGGCGGGCCAGGCAAGAGGAGGGAGCGGGCTGGAGCAGGAAGGGGGCTAAACCAACTGGGGTTCAGTCCCATGGCCTCCCTGCTTCCGGGCTCTGCAGGGTGGACTCGTGTCTTCCGCCTGCATTCCCACCGCTGAGGGTGACAGGAGACGCTTGGCCTGGGGAGAGGCTTGTCGACCCTCTCCAGCCCTTGGTGACTGGCTTTGTCCACCCACATACACACCCCACTCTGCCTGCACCTCTCCTCAGGGTGCTGGGAGTGGCCCCAGGCTGGGAACCTCCTGCCTTCTCCAGCTGTGTCCCAACCCCCTTAAGCCTGCACACGCTAGCCAAGTACCCTACCAGAGAATGCTTAATTAAACCTTACTCCCCACTTCAGAGTCAGATGGGCGATGTCGGGGACTGAGGCCTGACATGGGCACCTGTGAGCAGCTGATCACCTCTCACAACTCTTTTAGTTCCCTTCCCCCACTTTCAACAACAAAAAATCACCCTACCCAGTGGAGGGAAACAGGAGCCCAGAGAGAGGCAGGCCATCGGGTCTTCCTTCCTGCAACTGCTGACTCTTGCTTGGGCCTTGGTTCCCATGGATGATGCATGCTGGGGCCTGGTTTTAGTCCTGTGCATCTGAGGTGGCCAGCCTACTTTACTCCAGTGTCATGGATTCCTCCAAGCCTAAGGCCAGGTAGGAACTTACGATGTTGAGGGCTAGGTTTCGAATGGTCCTGGGCTTTCAGGGCAGGTGGTCAGTCACACAGGCCTTAGTGTGGTTGGTACTTGAGGTTCCTTGGAACTAAGACTCAGAGATTAGTACTTTCCTTGGGTTCCCTAGAGGAATTCTGGGATTTGTAGTCCTAAGTTAACCTTACGGCTTTTGAAGCTGAGAAGCAGCAGGCTACTCTGATCCCCTCTGGCCCTGTAAGGCTTGGAGTTCAGGAAGTCATTCCCTCCTGTAGTCAGGGGAGAGTTTGGCTGACCTCAGGACTGGCATCAAGAGGCCTGATTAGGTACCAGCTGGGGCCAGGGATGGCCTGTAACCTTGTGTCTTCCTTCTGGTTGGTAGCATTTCTGGGGACCACCAGCAGGCTGAGGCTCAGGGACAGAGACGGCTGCTCCAGCTAAAGGTCAGTTGTGCTATACATTGCCTCTTGGCACTGTCTAAGGGATGGGCCTCAGCTTGCTGAGCTCCACAGAGCTTGGCTGGGCCCCTGGCACTCCCACCTCCTCAAAGCCATGAGGCAGGAGTGTTCTCCTTATGCGACTAGGAACAGGTTCCAAGTGGGGAGGGGACTGGCTCAGCATCCGGAACCAAAATAGGAATAGAACTGGGAGCTGAGCCTGGAGCGGTTCTGGGCTTTTGGTTCTCTGCATCAACACAGCCAGCATGCCTATGATTTCTGTGCTGGGAAAAATGTTCCTGTGGCAGCGTGAAGGGCCTGGAGGACGATGGACTTGTCAGACAAGTCGCAGAGGTGAGACCAGGGACCGTAGATGTAGCATGGGAAGTGATGGGAAGCTGCGGAGTAGGATACTCAGGTGGCAAGAAGAAAATTATTTTGCTTCACCTATTGGGAACCAGGCTGAAACAGGCACAACCAGGCTCGGGCCAGGCAGGACATCAGGAAACAGCCATGGGGGACTGGGGCGAAAGAAAAAATCATGGGTTTGCCAGAGAAGAAGAGTAAAGAGCTGCATATCAGCTGAGTGTGGCAAGAGGAAAGAACCAAGAGAAGGAAAGCAGCAAGCCTACAAAGGGTCCAAGATGGTGGTGGGGAGGGGGACAGCAACGGCCGGGGACGAATGAGGTGCGCTTTCCAAGAGGAATGGGGAGGCTGAGAAACCGGAGAAGATTCAGAATTTATCCAAGTTTAGGTGTCATCCTGAGGGTTTTGATGGCGAAATATATTCAGTGAAGGAAGGTGGCCAGTGGCTGCCACAAAACGGCCCCAGGACCCTAAAGGTTAGGGGCAGTGCGCTAGGGGCTTTCAGAGTTGTGGAGAGCACCAGGTGGTTGCTCATAGTCTGGGAGGTGGGGGAGGGGTTGAGGAGGAATGATATGGCAACACCGGATGAAAAGGAGAGGGATCTTGGCAAAAGTGGGACCCAACTGAACAGCCTTTCCCCGACTCCTCAGTGGCCTCGGACCCCGCGTGGGCTGTGGAGTGGATCGAGCTTCCTCGGGGCCTCTCTCTCTCTTCTCTGGGATCCTCTCGGACCCTCCGAGGCTGGAGCCGGTCCTCTCGCCCTTCCTCCGTGGACAGCCAGGACTTGCCAGAGGTGCTGGGCCCTGGTGTTGGTTGGGGGCAGGGGGAACCGCATCCACATGAAGGGGATCTGTATCCCCCACCCCCGCCTCGCTAGCCCGTTTCTGGCTCCCTTTGCCTGTGAGCGGAGGCGCTATCCGGCCGGCAGGAAGGCCGCCCCCGCCGGTCTGCTCTGCTCGGCGTCTTGCCAACGCCAGGCGGGCTGCTTGCGCCTTCGGCGCTGACGTCAGCGCATCCCGGGCCATATCCCGGGAGACCCTGTTGCATGGTGATGGGTTGCCAGGGAAACATACACCTTTTCTCTGGGCCTGGGCCGCAGCTGCGCGGAGTGCTGGCACGGATGGCGGCGGCTGGGGGGAGTGAGGGGAGGGAGGGAGAGCGAGCCAGGAAACACCCAGCAGGTGCTCCTCCTTCCAGGCCCGGCCAGAGGCTACCGGCGCCACCCTGGGGGCCCTGTCAGCCAGGTACTGAAGGGGAGAGACGGGGGGGGGGGGGGGGGGGTGCTGAGGTCAAGGGGCAGCTGGAGCCCCTCTTGTGAGGGGTGGGGACTGATAGAGTAGAACTAGGCAATGCAGGGGAGGGGGCCTGGACCTCTGACTCCATTCATTCGTTGAGGCAAACGTTTGCCTGGGCTTGCCAAGGAGCACAGAACCAGGCGCAGGGAGGAGATGAGAACCCAGGTGAATCTGACTTAAGCCCTGCCATTCTTGAGATCCTTCAGGAGAGATGCAAGGATAGTGCTGGGGTTGGGTGGGTTTGAAGCAGACACAGAGAAAACTGTGGACTAAAAGCACAAATGGAGGTGGCACCTGAGTCAGGCCTTAAATGGCAGGGAGCATTTTGCCAGGCAAAGATGGCATTTGTAGCCCAGGGAAAAGCTGGGTTTCTTTGCCTGGAGGAAGGCAGGAGGGCTGATTGCTGACAAGGAAAATGGAGCAGTGGGTCTTTACTGGGCAGGGGAGGTCAGTGGTGGATCGCAAGCAGGCCTGGAAGGAGGCCGGGGCTCACAGAATTCTTCAGTGCCTGGCTGTGAGCTTGCACTTCATTGGAAAGTGGAGGAACCCAGAAAAGATTTTAAATAAGGGCATGTTGTGACCAGATGCACTCCAGGAAAATTGTTTACATCTATACCTTGCCTTGCTTATTTCAGCCTGTGTATTCTGAGAGGTTGCTCTGTATCAGGCACTGTGCTAAAGGTGTACAGCAGTGACCAAAAGAGACTGAATTTCTGAAAGAGCTTAAGACCAGCGAGGGAGGCCAACAAGAAATAAGGAAACACGCAAAACAGACCATAATTACACAAAAGGGATACATTGATAGGGGATGGTGACTTGTTACAGACTGCGGAGGGAGGGTGGGCCACTGGTAGGGTGGCCAGGAAGGCTTCTCTTGAGAGAGCGATATTTCAGCCAAGACCCGAAAGATGAGAAAGGGCCAACCGAACATGGGAAGGGGGAAGGGCAACACTTACACAACATACTAGGCTGAGAAAATAGCATGGAGGTGGAGGAGCTTGGGGGACCACCACTGTGTTGATCTGGGCAAGGGGCATTGAGGGCTTGAGGAAGGGCCGTGGCAAAGGAAGGAGGTAGTATTAGAGGCAGTTTGGAGATTCATCATTACGTCTTAACAACAGGTATGGGTAAGGAAAGCTTACGATAGAACCGACGGTAATGCTGAGGTTTGGAGCCACGCTGAAGGGGAGAATAGTGGGGCGACGCAAAGGAAGGAGGTCTGGGAGCAGGGCCAGATATGGGGAGAAGCTGTTGGGTTTGTTTTTGGTCATGCTGAGTTTGTGGCCCTGGTAGGCTCTAGAAACAGTTGGAATGTGGGTCTGAAGATTGAAAGGAGGAGGGGGCAAAGGAAGGGGACTGGGATGCTGTATCCTTTTCTCTTCCTCTTTTCTCTTCTCAAAGACCCTACTCCATGGCTCTTCCTGACCTGCTTTCTGCCCCTCTCGGAGGTGGGAAGGTGGCGGGTTAGCTGCAATTCTGCTCCTTTGGACCTGCCCACATTCCCTTTGCTCCCTGGGAGGACATAGTTTGCTGGTCCTGGCTTCTTACTTTCTTACATATCCCAGCAGCCATTGGGACACACGTGCTGCCCCGGCATCCCTTCCCAGCTCCTGTATCCCCTTGATGCTTTGGGTGGGCACGTGGGAGGATACTGCTGTCAGAGGAGCACTCACCCTCTGATACTGTCACCCAAGGTGAATGTTGGAGACAGAGTCGCGATGCTGCCCAAGTCCCGGAGAGCTCTAACTATCCAGGAGATTGCTGCGCTGGCCAGATCCTCCCTGCATGGTATGCACCCCCCTCCCATGCCTCTGGCCATTTGGTCCTTTCTTCTCCCTTTTGCACATGTCCTTGGGGATTGTATCCTGTGAGCTCGTGCTGCTCTGTCCCTTTTCTTCTCCTTCTCTGGTGAATCCCAGCCCCCTCCTTCCCCACAAAAGCACACGTGGACCCTCATTACCACCACCCTTCCACTCCCCCTCCAAGATGCTCCCCGGCCCATGCTCTTACCAGGCTTTCTGACTCTGCCCCACCTCCAGGTATTTCCCAGGTGGTGAAGGACCACGTGACCAAGCCCACAGCCATGGCCCAGGGCCGAGTGGCTCACCTCATTGAATGGAAGGGCTGGAGCAAGCCAAGTGACTCGCCTGCTGCCCTGGAATCAGCCTTTTCCTCCTATTCAGATCTCAGTGAGGGTGAACAAGAGGCTCGCTTTGCAGCAGGTGGGGGACATAAAGAGAATCAGCCACACTTCTGTCATAGGGACGCCCTCTCTCACCTCCTTGGGCCCGATGTGGGGGTTGGAGTCTTTGCACATCCCTGTGTCTCCCCTCTCCTGTCTCCAAGCTGAGCCCTAATCTTAGCTCGCCTCTGCTAATGAATTCCGTGTCTTCCCCAACAGGAGTGGCTGAGCAATTTGCCATTGCAGAAGCCAAGCTCCGGGCGTGGTCTTCAGTGGATGGTGAGGACTCTACAGATGAATCCTATGATGAGGACTTTGCTGGGGGAACTGACTCAGGTGAGGGACCATTCCATGCTAGTGCTGCCGTCAGGGGTAGAACTGCCCAATAGGCCCTCTGATTCAGAGCTCAGCCTTTGGAAGGGGAGATCCAGAACATCCGCAGCCTTTGGGAGGAGAGCAGAGAGGGGCAGACTCTGTCCAGGCAGTCCTTGACCTTCCACGGGCCGGAGGGCTGCCCACCCTCATTGGTGGACAGTCAGCGGGTGGAAAGGCAGTAGTTCCTTTCTTACAGGTGCTGAGCCTTCTGTGCCTGTCTGTGCAGTTGGGCCTTTCAGTCCTCAGGGGGAAAAAAAAAAAAATTGCCCAGAGGCCTCACTAGCACCTTGTGTGGCACCGTGTCTCTGGGAGGGGCTGCTGTGTCATGTCTCTGAGAGTCCTCAAGGCAGCCTCCTGGTGGGTGGAGGGAGCACAGATGGACCACAGTGCAACAGCGTAATGCCTCACAGGGCTTTGGCCCCAGGCAAACAGGAAGCCTGCTGGGCCTGGACTGCCCGCAGGGCTGCTGGCTCCAGCTCAGCATCCTCCTCGCATTCCAAGCCAGTGGGCCTTTCCCTCTGCCACCGCTTGCGGAGGGGACCCCGTGGGGCTGTGCAGCTGTGTAAGGCCCTCCTTTCACCTTCCATTCTCAGGGCCACAGGGCGGACTTTCTCTGTGGTTTCTGGAATCACGGCCCCCAGGCCACCACCCTCCCCACCCTTTGCCTTTGAAGATTGCCTCCACACGCCCCCACCCCTCTAGCTAATCAACAAGTTCTCTGAGGTGGTTAGTACATTAGAGCAGTTTGGAGACTGCTGCTGTGGTCCAGAGGGCACTGACTTTGGATGCCTGAGACCAAGACGGGCCTGAACCGCAGTGTTTTTGTTTGAGTTCCAGGCCTGTTTTGACCCCTGGTTTAATGAGAATAACTTAACATTTATCCAAGGGCGCTGCTAGCCCATGTGGAATCTTTGTGCAGATTTGAAGAAGGCACTCCTTTCTCTGGTGGGCACAGCCCCATGCCAGGGCATGCTGCTTGATGAGCAGAGTGTGGGCTGCATTTCAGCCCTTACTGCCTTGGACAGGCTCCCCTTGTGCAGCGAACAACCTGCACGTATGGTATCCCATGTGGTATGCTTTCTTACTGCACGCCAGACTCTGTTCTCTCAGCACCCCCATAGGTAGGTATATTAGAACCCCCAACTCAGCGTTAAGGAAATTGAGGTAGAGGTTAAGCAACTTGCCTCAGGTTCCCTGGCTCGTACTCACTATCCTCAGAGCTGTGTCAAGGTAGAGTGGGGAGAATGTGGCTTCCAGGTTGGCCTACCAAGATGGCTATCTCCTTTTCTCTTCTCTGACAGACATGGCTGGGCAGCTGGGACCCCACCTCCAGGACCTCTTCACTGGTCACCGATTTTCTCGGCCTTTGCGCCAGGGCTCTGTGGAGCCTGAGAGCGACTGCTCGCAGACCGTGTCCCCAGACACCCTGTGCTCTAGTCTGTGCAGCCTGGAGGATGGGTTGCTGGGCTCTCCGGCCCGCCTGGCCTCCCAGCTGCTGGGCGAAGAGCTGCTCCTTGCCAAACTGCCCCCCAGCCGGGAAAGTGCCTTCCGCAGCCTGGGCCCATTGGAGGCCCAGGACTCGCTCTACAACTCGCCCCTCACAGAGTCCTGCCTTTCCCCCGCGGAGGAGGAGCCAGCCGCCTGCGAGGACTGCCAGCCGCTCTGCCCGCCACCGGGGGGCAACTGGGAACAGCAGTGGCAAGCTTCTGATGTGGCTTCTTCTGGGGTGGTGTCCTTAGATGAGGATGAGGTAGAACCAGAGGAACAGTGACACAAATCATGCCTGGTGATGGCATGTGTCCCCTGGCTGCTGGTGGGGGCAGAGCCTCAGTGCCCAAGCGTGGGCTTGAGGCTTCCAGCAGAGCTCCAAAGCCTAGAGGGCTCCTTGGAGCACTCACTCCTCATTGTGTGTTTTGCATGAAAGTGTCTAGAGAGGAGGCAGGGACCAGGCTGGGGGCGCATGTCCAGCCCCCACTCCTGGGGTTTGCCGGGGCTGCCCGGGGCCCCTGGGGCATGGCTACAGCTGTGGCAGAGTGATGTCATGTTCTTAAATCAAAAAACGCCACATATTTCCTCCTCTGATGGTGTGAACCCCCGAGGGGACGGTTATGACTGGGCTGTGTGGGGTAGAATTGGAGGGAGCCTGGCCTCCCCCTGCCCCTCCCTCTGCCTCTCTCCTCTCTGCTTCTCTCCTCACCTCCAAGTTCATGTGCAGTGCTTGATAGAATCACCCCCACCTGGGGAGCCTACGGATTGAGCCGTCCCCAGGGCCCCTCTCCCAGCTGGGCTCGTGCTGTGCTTCACCTCTCCATTGTCTCTAAATCTTCTTCTTTTTTCTAAAGAAAAAGAGGGGTTTTGGTCTATTCTTTCAGTCGATCTTCTCTGGGAGGCATTGGAATAATGAAAGCATGTACCCTCCACCCTTTTCCTGGCCGCCCTGATGGCTCTGGGCCCTTTCCCAGCCCCTTGCAGGATGTGTGGGAAGGGGCCGGTGGCTGCCGGCCCGCCAGGCTGCTGCATTCACCCAGTTCTCTTTAGGGTGCAGTTCCTGCAACAGGGGATGGCTCTGGTTGCTAAGAGCTGTGGCTTCCATGTTCTTCCAGCGAGGGCCACCAGGGGGCCACACGGGTGGCCAGGCAGTTGTCCCCTGATGCCTGAGCAGGGCAGGAATTGTGCCAGCGGGTGACAGTCATGAGGGAGTGTCTCTCCTTGGGGAGGAAAGAGGGTAGTGCCTTTCTTGGCTGAAGGGCCAAAGCTGGAGTCCTGGGGGCAGCCAGGGGGTTGATGGCCACGCAGCGGAGACCCCTGCAGATCCTGCGTTCCGTTCCGTGGAGAGCCGGCTCTGGAGTTTTATGGCCACGGGGGTGTGGGTGGCTGCAGATTTCGGCCTTTGAGGTTTTGGCAGGTAAGAGGGCCCAAGGTAAGAACACGAGCTGATGGGCACAGGCATTCTATATATAAGTGGCTCATTAGGTGTTTATTTTGTTCTATTTGAGAATTTGTTTTATTAAATTAATATAAAAATCTTTGTAAATCTCTATATACATCTGGTCATTGGAGGTTCCAGTATAAACCCATCTTAGTTCTACCCCTTTCCTCCTCAAAGGGGCAGCAGGGGTCAAGCGACCCCAGCCCCATCCCACCGGGGCAGTGCCGATCTTCCCGCCCTTGCAAGGGCCACTTGCTGCGGGCGGGAGCTGGGTCAGAGTCCAGGTAGGAGGGACTGGGAGAAGCCGGTGCCCCTGGCCTGGAAGAGGGGCTGGGGCCCCAGCCTTTGGCTGTGGCTGCCTCCTGCTTTCCCAGGGCAGAAGGCACAGCAGGGCTGTCGGGCTCAGGTGGACAGCCAAGGCCCCCGCCATCCCAGGCCTCCCATTGAGGAATTCACTGGCACTTGTCGTCACTGTCAGAAGGGCTGCCCTCACGGGGTAGGCCGTGGCGGGAGCGGGGCCCCCAGAGTGCATGCACTTCAGTGGTCTCTGTGTCACTGCTGCTGGTGGCACTGTCACGGAAGCTGGCAAGGGGCGGCCGGACTTTCACACCCTGTGCTGTGACAGAGCCCTCAATTGCCTTCCGGAGCTGGAAAAGGGAGAGGGTCAGATGGAACTCCCTGTTCGGACTCCTCCCCAGCACTCCCCCCAGGTGAGCTAGACAAGCCTCCATGCCTTTTTGGAAGTGGAAGTGGCTTTGACGGCTGCTGTCATCTTACCTCCTTTAGTGTGACGATTCCAATGAGTCTGCCAATGCTGGTGACATAAGCATGGTCCACTCCCAGCAGTGAGAAGATGGTGTGAGTCTGCAGGGTGGGGAGAAAAACACTGGACTTGATGCACAAGGAGGGGGGCCCAGGGTGAGGTGTTGGCTTGGGGGGAGGGGTAGAAGGGGTGCCACAGATGGTGGGGGGAGAGGGAAAGACAACCAGAGGGAAAAGAATGAGAATGTACAACCAATCCTCAGAAACTTGACAGTGGGAATCTTTACATTGATGGAAAAATGGACAGAGGAAGGATACTTCATCCCGCGTTAGAAAGGATGGAGGAGAGAACAACTGTTCAAATGCGACACCTAATGACTGGCCAGGCAGCCAGCTCAGCCTTACATTGGCGTTTAATTTCAGCCCTGTCAGTATGACACCCACTCCACAGGACGGGCAGCGTGAAGCTCAGTGGCAAGGTGACAATGCTCAGGGTCCTCAGTAAGAAGTGGCCCTCCTGCTCGGGGTCACTTGCCAGCACACTCTAGAAGGAGGAAGCACTGTCCTAGTGGTCCCATGCAGATGTCTGATTGGTCATGGACATATCCAGGAGGAAAGTTCCACACGCCCCTTTTTGGGGGTACAGGCCCGGAATCCTGTTCTCACCTCACCTTAGTGGCTGACACGTGCTTCCCCTTTTGCTCTCAGCTGGCTGGTCATTTAAGGTACCCTGCACCCGGGCTCCGACCTCCCAATCTTGGCCTGCAGCACTCTGTGTGTGTTTCACACAGTGTGCTTTTTCTGGGGGGCCGAAAGCATCCCAGGTCCTTGAGATGCAGCTTCCAGTCCAGGGCGCATGTCTCCCCATCCCCCGCCCATGTTTTTCTTGCTTTGGGCCCTCCCCCAAGCTTTCAAGTGTAATCACCAAGGGTTCAGAAATTGTCAGCTAGTTCCCCTTGTGCTCTAAGTGGATTTTCTCGGGCCAGATGTCTTGAAAAACACTACTGACTCAGCAGTTCCTGGAATTTTTGGCCTATCATTTATCACACTGTTTTCAGTTTACTTGTAAGCCTCTTGGCTTAATGCTTGAATCAAAATGGGCATTAATATCCCAGATTCTTGAGTACCAGTTACTCTGAAATGGTTGTAATTGTCTTAACACTTTAAAAATGTTTTCTTATATAGTTGCTGAATTTTTTAAAAAAGAACTTACAAAACTTCCCTAAGTCTCTCCTTCTAAGGCATGACTGCACTTATAAAAGGAGCTAGATGTTCAGTTTCAGCACAAGCTTCTCTGTGCTCCTTTACTACCTGTGTCATAACTGTCGTGCCTTTATCAAGTCCCTTGAATCCTACGTGCTGCTAGTTTTCTTGAATTTCCTCCTCTGATCTCATAGGGAAATATATCTTTATTATAAGATTTCCTCTTTTAATAATCCCTGGGCCTTGTCTTCTTATGTTTAATGATCCAACTCATCCTCTCCCAAGGATCCTATTAAATCATTCCCCTGGATCTCCTGTTCCCCACAGTCCTAACCAGCTTCTCGCAGGCTACAGGCCTTTTGGGTTTGCAAACCACTTGTCCCGGGCAGTCAGCAAGCCTTCCTGATCTACTTCCTGAACGTCCTGGCCGTCCTCCCAGACTCCCTCACCGTCTTCACCAGGATGGGCTTGTAACATCCTAACGGGTCCTGCTTTCTGCCCCTCTTCCAACGATTTGGCTTTGCCACCCTATCAGCTTTCTCAAACTTGAGTCAGAGCCTGAACTCCCCAGAATGGACCATAGACCCTCTCCAAGCCCACCACAGCCTGTGTGTCCAGCCTCAGATTCCACCAGGCACCCCAGCTTCCAGCTCACATAGTCACATATCTTCTTCTGAAAACATCAATTTCTTGCACATTCCCCTCATTATATCATCTTTTAAAGTCTCCTATTGTTTGCTTCTAAGTATACTGGTAAGTAGTAGGAGTAATTTCTAAAATATGTTGAATACTTACTATGTGCTAGGTACCGTTCTAAGTGGTTCACATGTATCAACTCCTTTAATCCTCAGAAAACCCTGTGATGTAGGTACTAGAATCCCCATTTTACAGATAAGGAAAGTGAAGCACCTAGAGGCCAAGAAATGTGACAAGGTTGCACAGCTAGCTGACACGCCGCAGAGTGAGGATTTGGGTTCAGTGCCGTCGGACCCAGTGTTGGCACCCTAGCTTCCCCCACCTCCGCCCACTGCTTCTCTGTAGGCGGCCTCTGAATGAATGAGGTACTTGGCTGATATGGGGATCTCCAGTTGCACAGGTTCCTAAGTAGCCTCCAGTGTGTTCCCTTGACCCTCTGTTCCGTTCCTGAACTTAATTGGGCTACTACTTATTGACTCCTCAGGCCTGCAAGGACATTTTGAATTCTAATCTTTAATGTTCTTATCACTTCTAGTTCTTTGTACTTTTGTTAGTCGGTTCCTCAAAGGCTTCTTCTCTTCCTCTGATTTTTAAGTTTGTAACAAACACATACTTTGTTCTTTTTCATTTTAATTTAATTAGACACCAGGGAACTCACTGGAGGGCCTGCATTTCTTGGGCTCAGGAACAGGCAATTCTGACGGGCAGAGGGATAGCGTGGCCCTCTGAAAGAATACTGGCCCTGAGGCCAGGAATCTGGGCTCCAGGCCTGACTCTGTTATATTGACTCAGGCAAGTGACCTACTCATTGCCTCAGTTTCCCCATATATTACAAAGGTTACATTCACAGGCTTTGGGTCAGACAATCTTGGTTTCCAGGCCTGGCTCTGCTACATACTAGCTGTGTGACCTTGGCTAACGCACTTAACCTCTCTGAGTCTCAATGTCCCCATCTATAAAAACTGGAATATCACACTCTCTCTCTTACAGTCTGGTCGTGAGAATTAAATTAAACACGAACAGCTTAGCCCAGTGCCTGGCACATAGCAGGCACTTAAAAAATGTCAGCAGCGTCATCATCTTTATGTGATGTCTGAGGACTAAGTAAGGTGATGGAAAAGCTTTAGAGGTCTTAGGAAGAAAGGCTTTCAATAAAAGCCAAATATATTTATTCTCAGGCCTCTTTTATTTTTTCTTGCAATTGCACTGCAGTTCCCCACTCACTTTGACCCAAGGTCTTTACCCAAAGGTTTATAAGTTCCTTTATTACTTTTTTGTTCCCCGCCCCCCTTTTGTCTCCTGTCCTTCCTGCCCAGGCCCCTGCTTGTCCACACTAAGCTGGCTCTTTGGCACAGTCTTCACCTACACTGGCCGTCCCAGCTGCAGACCGTTGCTGCTCTCCCACTGGCCCCATCCCCATGCCTCAGAGGTTTGCACATTAAATCTGACAAGTTAGCTAAAACACCCCTTGGCTTCTCCTCTGGCAGTCTGCGGGGCGTGCCTGCACTCCCTGCCTTCACTTGGAAGTCTGAAGGTGCCCAGTGATGCCACTGCCCCATCCCGGGCTGCCCCTGAGGCCGTCCTCCTCAGGGAGCCACCGCCCTCCTCTAATGTCAGCCTTGCCCACCACCAATCTGTCCACACTCAAGTTTCCCCCCATTTCTGCAGGCTGGCGTTGCCCTTCTGCTGAGCTGTCTTCCTGTGTCCTTACCAGTTTTCCTTTGACCTACATTAAGTGAGACTTTCTGGGGTCTGAC